TATGACGAACTATCGCTAACAACATTCCCTTCTCCCAAGATGTACAATATCCTAAAGAATTCCCTGGTTATTCTAAGTAACATTCCAAAGACCATGAACTTATCTAAGATCGATAATTTCACGCAGATCCTTAACCCCTTTTTTGACACAAAAATTAATGTGGTTTTTGACAATACTTTATTTATTATGACACTGTTATACACTGTTTCTTTTCAATGGGTTAAAGTTTTTAAAAAAATGCGTCCTTTTCTGGATGCGGTGGTTTCCCGTGCCCGGATGATGGGCACGAGCACTGCGTTGCATGTCTGGGGGTTCAGCATGTTAATTTATTTCGAGGGCATGTCTGTTGAGCAGTTAAGATCGCAGTTAGCCCTTGCAAAAGGGCAAACCACCCCAGCTGTCCCTGCACTGTAGCGGGCACTTGGGCAGGTCTGAGGGTTCCAGTTGGAGATTATCCATCGCCTCGGGACCCGCGGACCTCCCGGTTCACCCTGCCCCTTCATTAATTTGTCCAGTTCGCGTTTTGCGGATTTATCTGGACTGCGCTCAGAGCTTTAGATCATCTGAGCAGCTCTTTGTCTGTTATGGTGGTCGGCAGCAGGGAAGTGCCTTATCTAAACAGAGGTTGGCCCACTGGATAGTGGATTCCACCTCCCTCGCTCATCAAAGCCAGGGCTAGCCGTGAACCTCAGGAGTGTGTGCGTACTCCACTCAGAGCATCGCATCCTTATGAGCGGGTGCACGCGGCACCTGTCTTACAGACATCTATAGAGCTGCAGGGCTACCTAATACATTTGCAAGGTTTTACAATCTGCAAGTGGAGCCAGTTTCCTCAAAGGTATTAAAGTAACCCTCGTTCCCCGAGCGGGGAACGGAAATGCTGCCCAGAATTGGTGTCCCAATTCTCTTTAGCTTGAAGGCGTAGGGCTAAGGGGAAGGGGTGAATAGCCCTTCGAACGAAGATTTTTCAGGACCACACTTGAAACCAAGGGGTAAGAAAATTTCCCAGAATGCACCAGCCACAGCAGCAGTATTGCTGAACCCGGAGTAAAGAGATCCAAAAATTAGTATTTATTGTCATTATTACGAATTTTTACGACAAACAAACACATGTTTTAATATATTCATAACCGCGTTCGTGTTTTACCGTCATGCTTTAAAAAAAAAACGCAAAAAAAATCCCCGCTAAATTTCGTGATCTATAATTCCTATTAAATAACTCTTATACATCGTTCCCACAGTATTCTGACTCTGGATTACCCTATCAGTAATGTCTAGTGGCTGTCAATGGCCTTTTTACAGTGTCTGCTATAATGTTAATGTTGTTTTTGGTGTGTTTACATTGATGAATATGGCCACTGTGTAAATACACAGTAAAGTTACGATCTTATTGCCACATTAGATCATTATGATAACATAATATATGCCTTTAGTGATCTCCTGAAGATAAATACCAAAAAATAACACAACTGGAATCACTACAGTAGTCGCCATCGTCTAATCTCACAAGAGAAGCAGGAGATCGCGAGGACATATGATAACATGTGCATGTGCTGTAGTGCTGTCCCAATCAGGCAAGTGCAGAGACCGTCCAAAGGGCATGTACAGGATAAATTTTTGAAAGAGCGGGGGTGGGGGGGGGGGGTTCGGCGGGGTGCTGCAGATCTGCAGAGTGGATGCGCGCGTACTAAAGAGCAGTGTTATCGCGCGCGTACTGATCAGCTGTGTTGTCGCGTGCGTACTCAAAAGCGGTGTTGTCGCGCGCCAACTGAAGGGCGGGACCGAAGGTGTGCCGCGTCGCGGGGGCACTTTTGATCATTTTGGAAGGACACTTTCTATCCAAGACTAAAAAGGGCATGTGCACTGCACAGGTTGAGCCCTATGTGTGCACGTACCTGGTCCCAATTCTTAGGGGTAAATTTTGAAGCCCTTCCCCTTAACCCTCTGTTGTAAGGGCCAAGGGGAAGGGGAAGGGCAAGGGGTACAAAAATAGAATTGGGATTGGGCCTTAGTCTCTTCAGCTAAAAAAGATGCCTCAGCCTTGCACTTTCTGTTCTTTATATTGTTTAAACGATTACTCCAAGCATCAGCTGCGCTAGCTGACGCTGCCAACTCATTGGCATTTCATTGGCTCGTTTACATACTCTTTAAGATGATTGGCTTTCTGAACGAAATCCCCATATATGGATTAAATCCACTATAGCATTTCCGTTCCCCCCTCGAGGAACGAGGGTTACTTTAGTAACCAGAGCGTTCTCGAACACAATGAGCCGTACAAAATGGGGCAAGAGAAGATTTTCTACTGGTTAATCGAACATAAATTCAAATTGTTAACACAAAACTTTTGTTTAATGCAATTACAACTATATATTTAAATACATGCGGCATTGTAAGTCAGAGCAGACATAAAGTAAAGTGTGCACACTCTTCTTGAAAGAGAAGTTAATACAATGTGAATCTGGCTTGTCCTTCACTATATGTCTCCTGCAGCAGGTTAGGGAAACCAAAGACCATGAACTTATCTAAGATCGATAATTTCACGCAGATCCTTAACCCCTTTTTTGACACAAAAATTAATGTGGTTTTTGACAATACTTTATTTATTATGACACTGTTATACACTGTTTCTTTTCAATGGGTTAAAGTTTTTAAAAAATGCGTACTGTCAGCTGTGAAGCGAAACGAAAAGTAGTCTTTAATAAAAGTGTAATGCAAAAAACGTAGAAAGTAAAAGCAAAAGTCAACTCCCAGACATTTAAGGAGATTTAGGAAACACCGTCGTCCAGCATTTTTAAGCCTCAAAAAGGCACATATAATTGGGTCTCTGCAGAACACGCATGAGTTTTATTTGGGTCCGGTCCTCCCGAGCGGTGCGTATAGTTGCACTTTTACGTAAAAGAGCAACACAGTCATGCAGCACGTCCTTTTCTGGATGCGGTGGTTTCCCGTGCCCGGATGATGGGCACGAGCACTGCGTTGCATGTCTGGGGGTTCAGCATGTTAATTTATTTCGAGGGCATGTCTGTTGAGCAGTTAAGATCGCAGTTAGCCCTTGCAAAAGGGCAAACCACCCCAGCTGTCCCTGCACTGTAGCGGGCACTTGGGCAGGTCTGAGGGTTCCAGTTGGAGATTATCCATCGCCTCGGGACCCGCGGACCTCCCGGTTCACCCTGCCCCTTCATTAATTTGTCCAGTTCGCGTTTTGCAGATTTATCTGGACTGCGCTCAGAGCTTTAGATCATCTGAGCAGCTCTTTGTCTGTTATGGTGGTCGGCAGCAGGGAAGTGCCTTATCTAAACAGAGGTTGGCCCACTGGATAGTGGATTCCACCTCCCTCGCTCATCAAAGCCAGGGCTAGCCGTGAACCTCAGGAGTGTGTGCGTACTCCACTCAGAGCATCGCATCCTTATGAGCGGGTGCACGCGGCACCTGTCTTACAGACATCTATAGAGCTGCAGGGCTACCTAATACATTTGCAAGGTTTTACAATCTGCAAGTGGAGCCAGTTTCCTCAAAGGTATTAAAGTAACCCTCGTTCCCCGAGCGGGGAACGGAAATGCTGCCCAGAATTGGTGTCCCAATTCTCTTTAGCTTGAAGGCGTAGGGCTAAGGGGAAGGGGTGAATAGCCCTTCGAACGAAGATTTTTCAGGACCACACTTGAAACCAAGGGGTAAGAAAATTTCCCAGAATGCACCAGCCACAGCAGCAGTATTGCTGAACCCGGAGTAAAGAGATCCAAAAATTAGTATTTATTGTCATTATTACGAATTTTTACGACAAACAAACACATGTTTTAATATATTCATAACCGCGTTCGTGTTTTACCGTCATGCTTTAAAAAAAAAACGCAAAAAAAATCCCCGCTAAATTTCGTGATCTATAATTCCTATTAAATAACTCTTATACATCGTTCCCACAGTATTCTGACTCTGGATTACCCTATCAGTAATGTCTAGTGGCTGTCAATGGCCTTTTTACAGTGTCTGCTATAATGTTAATGTTGTTTTTGGTGTGTTTACATTGATGAATATGGCCACTGTGTAAATACACAGTAAAGTTACGATCTTATTGCCACATTAGATCATTATGATAACATAATATATGCCTTTAGTGATCTCCTGAAGATAAATACCAAAAAATAACACAACTGGAATCACTACAGTAGTCGCCATCGTCTAATCTCACAAGAGAAGCAGGAGATCGCGAGGACATATGATAACATGTGCATGTGCTGTAGTGCTGTCCCAATCAGGCAAGTGCAGAGACCGTCCAAAGGGCATGTACAGGATAAATTTTTGAAAGAGCGGGGGTGGGGGGGGGGGGTTCGGCGGGGTGCTGCAGATCTGCAGAGTGGATGCGCGCGTACTAAAGAGCAGTGTTATCGCGCGCGTACTGATCAGCTGTGTTGTCGCGTGCGTACTCAAAAGCGGTGTTGTCGCGCGCCAACTGAAGGGCGGGACCGAAGGTGTGCCGCGTCGCGGGGGCACTTTTGATCATTTTGGAAGGACACTTTCTATCCAAGACTAAAAAGGGCATGTGCACTGCACAGGTTGAGCCCTATGTGTGCACGTACCTGGTCCCAATTCTTAGGGGTAAATTTTGAAGCCCTTCCCCTTAACCCTCTGTTGTAAGGGCCAAGGGGAAGGGGAAGGGCAAGGGGTACAAAAATAGAATTGGGATTGGGCCTTAGTCTCTTCAGCTAAAAAAGATGCCTCAGCCTTGCACTTTCTGTTCTTTATATTGTTTAAACGATTACTCCAAGCATCAGCTGCGCTAGCTGACGCTGCCAACTCATTGGCATTTCATTGGCTCGTTTACATACTCTTTAAGATGATTGGCTTTCTGAACGAAATCCCCATATATGGATTAAATCCACTATAGCATTTCCGTTCCCCCCTCGAGGAACGAGGGTTACTTTAGTAACCAGAGCGTTCTCGAACACAATGAGCCGTACAAAATGGGGCAAGAGAAGATTTTCTACTGGTTAATCGAACATAAATTCAAATTGTTAACACAAAACTTTTGTTTAATGCAATTACAACTATATATTTAAATACATGCGGCATTGTAAGTCAGAGCAGACATAAAGTAAAGTGTGCACACTCTTCTTGAAAGAGAAGTTAATACAATGTGAATCTGGCTTGTCCTTCACTATATGTCTCCTGCAGCAGGTTAGGGAAACTCCACAGACTTTGGAATGTTTTGACGGCTGCTTTTGTTCCAAGATTCAGCCATAATGTTTCAGTATCTGTCAAGACGATGAGATTTCTTCCTCCATCTCTCCTTGCATTTCATCCGCCCGCACTGGAGGTCTGAAAGCTATTGTATTCATCCAGCAACACTTCTTACAGAAGACAGACCTTATTTTTCCAAGAAAATCACAGATACTCCATCTGACTGTCTTTTTGGATGACCTTTTTCTTATGGAACTCCCTGAGAGGAACGGATTGTTTCGGATTTCCGCTGTTGCGCTCGAGTCGGAGAAACAGAATTGTGGTCCCTGTTATGGGTTTCTCTCTACCATCTCCAACATCTGCAAATGATTGGGAAGGGAAGTGAAGAGGAGAGGGGGAAAACATAAAACCCATCCTCCGTCAATTGGCCATTTCAAGTGTCCTCGCTGGCTTATAAACACCAACATGCCATGGCAAACTCAAGACAGGCCAAACTCGCTCAAGAGGGGTGTTGTGGGTGCAACATCTGAGACCAGCATTCAAGCAAAAGTACATTTTTGCTTCTAAGTTTACAGTCTGGCTAATTTACCGTGACTCTAAGATGCTAACAAAGCTTTCTCCTCAGATTTCCATCCAAACCTCTGTCTGTGTACGCAAAGATTTCATTAAAGTTGAGGCTGGATGGTCTCTTAAGCAAGCTGGTGAACCAAATGTAAATAAATGCAATAAACTGTTTATGAAACTCAAGGGATACAAATATTGTAAAAAAATCACCAAGTATTGCAATGTTTTCCCATGGTAATACAGGAATTTCTAGATTTTATATTTCATTTTTGTATTGTATTTTGTATTTGTTTTAACATTAATGTGTTGTAAAAGCTTGTTTTTTTTGTATTGTTTTATTTTTCTTGCTTAAAAAAAATGTAAATAATTTTCCTATTTAAAGCTTCACTCGTCTGTGTTTATTTTGTGTACTAAAACCAAAAAATAAATAAAAAAATGTGCCCTGAAATGGCTAGGCTCTTCTGTATGCTCTCATTCTGGAACTTTGCTGCTGTACAGATGCACTTCAAAAACAGTATTTAAGGGTGCTTTCACACCTAGATTTTTGTTTCAGAACCTGGCGCATCTCCCCAGTTAGCGCGATTCGTTGGTCATATGTGAATCCTGCATTTGCGCTTGGATCTGCGCCGAATCAATTGGTCCAAGATCGCCTGAATGAGGTGGTCTCGGCTCGATTAAAATTAGCTCTGGAGCAGATCGATTATAGTGAGAAAGCAATAAGATCCGAACCAGGCAATATCACTGAGTATTATGGATATGTAATAGGCATATATATGGCTATATATGAAGAGAGAATTATGAGTATGGCAGGATGTCATTCCTACAGGTAAATGTGTGTTTTGTGTCAAATATGAGCATAAAAGCATGCTAACTATTAATGAAAGCTGTTTATCCAGTAGGTAAATTGACTGAACTGCAGTCTTGGTTTATCTGTTATTTCTCTCTGTAATGTAAAGCCTATAATGCATTAGCACAATTTTAGCACAATCAGTGTGGAGTCATTTTCAAGATCGCGTTTGCTCGTGTAATCATTAATGCCTTTTCAGGTTTATGTAAAGTTTATGAAGGTTATTTCCCACCCGCTCTGTCAGTGATGAGCCAGGAAGCCTTCATATATCTGTCAGTGTCTGCATTTGCGTTGAAGAATAAGAGACTTTACTCACGTGTCTGTATCCCATCACTCTACAGGATGAACTCTTATGATGATGATGAGGAGGCGGCTCGCGAGCGCCGGAGACGAGCTCGTCAAGAACGCCTGCGAAACATGGAGAATGAAGAGTCCAGTAATATTACAACAGAAAGCAACAGGTAGTTTTACTTGCTAGCACAAATATACAGTTTTTTAGTGAATTTGCATGGTGCAACCCTGCCAACCTGATTTCACCAAGTAGAATATGTTCCTGGATTAACATCTATGTTGATCCTGGAACAACATTCCTATAAGCCAATCAGAACTAAGAGATACCTCTACCGTTTATTTTAGGTTTAGGCTTACGGTTAGGTTTATGTACTTCTACATGATTGCTATTAAGATAATTCTGCCTTGTAAATCCATTTTTGCAAGTGTTTAAGACACTGTGAGAAATTAATGAAAGCATATAATGTGTATTATGAGGAATGTTTGTTGCATTGTATATTGTGTGTCATATATCATGAATGGATTTTCACACAGTTTCACACAATTCATTCATGTTGTCCCAACACAAATTGTTTAAAATTATTCACTCATTCATTTCCTTTTCGGCTTATTTTGGGATAATGTTAGTACACAAGTCAGCAAAATACAGCACTGTTCTTGTTCTTTGTGGATATTGAAATGAGAAAATCTTACATTCTGTGCCTTTAACATATACAAATACCTCTACAGCTTCTAATGTTACTGTTTTCAGCACAGAGACATCTTCATTGATAAATAGTTCTGAACCAGCGGAGGATGATGATGACCAGGCTCTTCTGGAAAGGATTGCCAAAAGAGAGGAAAGAAGACAAAAAAGGATGAAGGAAGCTTTGGAGAGACAGAAGGAACTTGATCCCACCATCACGAATGGAACCGAAAGCACCAGCGCTGCCACAGAGAATGAGCCAAATACTAGAAGAGACGATCAAGAGTCATCCAGAAATGATCTCACTTCAACAGAAACCAACTCTTGGAAGGAAAAGGAAGAGCTTAAAGTGGAGGAAAAGCTACAGGAGAGAAATGTTGACGTTGAGGAGACAGTCCCGGTACAGGAGGAAACAGTGCCAGAGGAACCCAAAGCATCTCTTGAGGAGATAAACAAACCAGACGATGAGGACAGACCAACAAGGTCCTATCTCAGAGAACAGGTCATTTTCTCAATCATTTCCATCTATAATGAAGGTTTGACATGTTAGTGATGTATTTAATGCTGTTTTTGTATTATTTGTTTAGTATCATAATTACTTTATTACAGGAATCCATGGAAGAGAAACCCAAAGAACCAACAAACAAGGTATGAGAGTCTTAAGATTTGATTGGGTTTTTAAAGGGGGCAAGGGATGATATTTTCAGCTGTTTTTGTTTTTTGTAAGGTTTCTTGCTTGTCTGGCAGCTTAGAAATGTTAAAAAGAAAAGACAGCAGTTTGCTATTAACTATCTGTGTTTGAAAATCTGTCAGCAAGCCTGATTCTACTCACAACTAGCTATTTGCAAAAGGCTACTTTCATCAGTCTGGGAGAAAGCAGTCCCAGCATGCAACCTGCTCTGTGCTGTGGTGGACTGAAAAGACATTTTAAAGACAAAGATAGCATGTAAAAACCTTTGTTAAACGTGTCCTATATTCATTTGTGGCAAATGGCACTTGCTTGTGTTTGTATTAGAGGTAATTTTAACAGAAAACTTTCTGCAAGTGACAGATTTGGTTTTATACAGTAAGGTAAAAATCTGAAGGCCATTAATCATGTTGACACATTACATTGAGGCTCGCCCCGTTATTTTTTGTTTTTTGGGATTTCTAATAGTAATTAAAATATTTCTGCTTTAATTGAAAGTATCTGCATGCACAATACAGTACACGAAAGTAAAGTTGTCACATCTTTTGAATGCTTAAAGGGGTGGTCCACTATGATATCATATTTTGGTCACACTTTACAATAAGGTTCATTAGTTAATGTTAATTAATGCATTTACTAACATGAACAAACAATGAACAATACATTTACTACTGTATTTGTTCATGTTAGTTAAAGAGCCCATATTATGGGTTTTTGAAAATTCCCCTCCATGTAGTGTGTAACACAGCTCTAAGTGAAGTGAAGTATCCAGCTAAGGCTTAAATCTGTTAGTGTACAGTGTTTAAAACGGTTGATTCATCTATAAAAGAGTCGACTCATAGTGCTTCAAACGAGTCGCCTTGATACCGATTCATTAGGTGTTTCGCCATGACGTACGAACGAAACCAAGTTATTCACGTGCACGCGCAAACCCGGGAGATTTCAAACCTGAGGCCCCGCCCTCTGACGCAGAAACCCAGACACACACACAAACACACACCCACAAACACGCCGGTCGATTGAAGTCACACTGCAGATGGATATATTGAGTCTCTACCCAAACATGAAACCTCAGCATTATAGCCAAGCAGTTGGAAACTACTGGAAACTTCTGGAAGCTACAGGCTACAAAGAATACTTCATCAGCGTTTGTTAAAGGAAGGATCAGTAAAGGGTAACTTATTGATGGACGTCAGGATTTTTCTTCCTCCATTTCTCAAGTGTAAGTATGTGCGATTAAAATTGCCTCGTTTGGTTCTAGCTTGCAAATGTATTTAGTTGTGATTTGTTACTTGTAACCGCGTGTACTGTATCAGGTTAACTGGCTATATTCTCTTATCGCGTGCTGCGTTAACGGAGCTCCGTGGACGAGGAGTAGTGTGTGTGTCTGTGTGTGCGCGCCCTGTCGTCCGGAGGTGTGTGTGTTTGTGTGTGTGCGCGCGCGTTGTCGTCCGGAGCAGGTTTAGTCTGTATTTACATTGACCCACTGGCAGCTAAAATCCACGCCTACACTATCGAGTGTGTATGAACTGTGATTACTTTTATATTGCTGATTAGCTGTTTGGCATTTTACTCTCTGACTGAAGGCAGTCGACCAATCGCGACAGACTGTCATTGGTCCAATCAGCGCAGATTAGCTTCGCGCTAAGGAGGGGTTTGGGAACAAATGAATCACTGGACGATTCATACAGGAGTCGCTGGGATAATTAGGTAAAAATAAATGCAGATTATAAGACCATGAAAGTGTTTTTTGACCTTGCATGCATATTAAACTGTTGTTGGAGACCCTTACAACCAAGATATGACCCTATTTCATGTATAATATGGGCTCTTTAACATCAGTTAATGAAAATACAGTAGTTCATTGTTAGTTCGTTAACTTATGGTGCATTAACTAATGTTAACAAGCATCGACTTGGATGTTAATAATGCATTAGTAAATGTTCAATTATGATTAATAAATGCTGTACAAGTGTTGTTCATGATTAGTTCATGTTAGTAAATGCATTAACTAATGAACCTTATTGTAAAGTGTTACCCATATTTTAAACTTTAGTTGATGTGTAATGTAGCTGTGTGAACATAAACAACATCTCTGAATGTAAAAAGTTCTAAGTTCAATGCAGACCACGGTTTTTACAGAATTAGCTTAGCAAAGCCTACAATGGACGAATTTTGGGGACTACAAAAAATACTTCCGCCCCCTGTGAGATCACAAAGGTTCGTTACTGCGCACCCAAAACTGCGCAGGTAAGGGCCGTGGCCAGAGGCGCTGTAACATTATAGCAGAGATGAAGCTAAAAATGCAATCCAAACGCTGCTGTTTCCACAGAGCTTCGTCTGTTTCTGTGTTTGAGCTTCAAAAGAGACGACACAAAGACAGAAGTGCTTAAAGTTCAATATTAATTATCAATATTAATTAGTGTTCCAGAGAATTATAAAATACATAGCAAGCATGGTTTGACAAAACAGCTTCCAGAATCTCTCCCAGTTCAGTGCTGGATTCGGCTAAAATCTCCTCAAAGCAGAAGCTGTGAGCTACAACCTGTGTTTTTATTTGTTAAAATTGATCATGACATGTACAGTGTCTAGCGTTAACGGTAAGTTATGCTGTAGCAACGATGTAAACAATGGAAAATGCTGCTTTGCGGGCAAACAATTTAGCTACAAATTCATATTAATCAGTCAAACTGCTGTAAACACACACACACTACACCAGCACGTTCGTGTCTCTTATGTGTGTGCGCGACTTTGCATTGATTGTCTTCAGGCAGCTTTTCCATGCGTTTCACATCTCAGATAATGAAGTTGCTAAAGATATGAGGATGATTCATATAACTTACACCTGCATATTCCGGATATCTGTGAAACACGTTGTGTAATGCATAGAGTTAAAAAAAAAATACAGGATAGCTCACCTCGTGGACTCGTGGTAGCAGCAGGAAAATAAATCAAGGCTCACACAGGTAGCATCCCACATCTTGTGCTTTATTCTTCTGTCACGATATATTACAGATAATAACTTAATCCGAGCATCAGAGAAAAAGAAAAAAAAGGAGCCGCACCCCATTTTCATTCGTTACAGACACTTGTCAGACTTTATTATAGAGAGCAGGCAGGAGGTTGACTGATTGTTTACACAGCAGAAAAGCGCGTGCTTTTACGGGTGTGACGTGGAGCCGATTCACGAATCGTAGCACATTATGACGATGACCAATCAGAGTCACTTAAGGGCGGGCCTTTCAGAGGAACTAGGAAATATGTCGTTTTCATGTTAGCTGAGTAGCTGTGTATAATCAAAGTGAGATTTATGAAAAAATAACGCGATTTCCTTCAAGTGAAACATGAGCGCACATTGCTTTGCATCTTATAAACACAACCAAGCCTTAAAATTACATTCTGGACCACCCCTTTAACTTTCAATTTTGAATATGAGATCACACACAGTTTTATCTAAAACATTCTTAGCGTGACATCATCAATCTCAGATAAGTTAGTGGTCTTTGGAATGTTACTTAGATTAACCAGGGAATCCCTTAGGATATTGTGCATCTCGGGAGAAGGGGACGGTGTTAGCAGTAGTTCATCATAATTTAAAGTTAACAGTTGCTGTGAAAAGAGATTTTCATGACATGGTAAAATATGTTTTTACATCACTAATAATGGATTTTAACCAAAGTGTCTGACATTTTATAAAGATGTTTTATAGAAAATGGGTGTCCGATATCTGTAAATGGTCTG